CTCTAGGGCCTTGTGATGCTGTCACTCTGCACTGATGTTCTTGCTACTACTGGCTGGCGATGGGGGTAGTGTCCATACTCAGGTGACTGCTGCTGGTGCTGCTGGTGCTGCAGGTGGCTCCTGCTCAGACTCATCACCTGCCCTGGGTGGTACCAAGGGAACCAAGACTGAGTCTAAGCCTCAGCCTCACCAGTCTGCAGACCTCATTCTGGGTGGGGGCCTGGGGCCAGAACAAAGGCCCTGGTCATGGCAAAGGAGCCCCAGGGGACTGGGGATCATCTGCTCCAACCTCCTCTACTGACAGAGGAAGATACTGGGGCCCCCGAAAGGGGAAGGGAGTTCACGGTCACTCCAAGGAGCTGATGAGTGCAGAGGACAGAGTGGAGCTGGGCTGGTGAGCAGAAGGTTTGTACCCTGTGGCTATGTGCGCAGAGGGGCCCAAGGGTGTGGCAATCTTGAATGGAGCAGTGCTGGGGCAGGGGAGATCCCACACTATGTAGGGTGAGCTGCATCCTGATTTGCACTGTTGCACCCCTCAGTCCTGGGCAAACAAAAACTGTTGGTCACCTTATAGCCATGCCAGACACATGGGACCAGGCTCATAGGGTCACTGCTACACTGCCAGCCCTTTCTGTAGGCCCCACACCTGTTGCATTTGACCCTGAGAAGCAGATAGGGCAGGTAATATCCTGTAACATCTTGTGTTACAGATGGAAAAATCAAGGCTCGGGGGTAAAAGTGCTCCAGGCTACCTGGGGAGCTGTGGCAGAGTCAGCACCTCTCTGCTCACCTGGGAAGGAAGTGGTCCCTGGGCTAGAGGGCCTGCCCTCCTGTGGCCCCAGCTCCTGTCTCCTCTGCTGTGTGACCTGGGAGGAGCATAGCTTCTGTGGCCTGCCTTCCTCTCTTCACCTGGAATGAGGTGCCCTCATTTTCTCTCTCCCTTCTCTTCTCCTTTCCCTTCCTTTTTCTCCCTCCCCCTCTCCTCCTTCTCCCTCTTCTTCTCTCTCTTTCCCCTTCTCTCAGAAATGGTGTCCAAAGGACCCAAAGTCAATTTACGTAAGAGTAGGTTAAATGGAATGGGGCAGTTGGGGAAGTGGACACAAAGAAACTGAGGGATCAGCACTGGTTAGTGTGGCTGAGTGGATTGAGTGCTGGCCTGGGAACCAAAGGGTCACCAGTTCAATTCCCAGTCAGGGCACGTGCCTAAGTTGCAGGCCAGGTCCCCAGCAGGAGGTGAGTGAGAGGCAACCACACATTGATGTTTCTCTCCCTCTCTTTCTCTCTCCCTTCCCCTCTGTCTAAAAATAAATAAATCTTAAAAACAGAGAAACTGAGGGATTGAGATATCATTCTGAAGGAAGGGAAACAAAAGCCTTATGCTCAGAGGGGGGTAGATGTGGGACTAGAGGGGGAGAGATAGAGGGAGGAGGGGGAGAGATTGAGGGAGGAGGGAGAGGCTTTCAAAGAAAGAAATGAGTTATTCCAGTGTGGGGAGGTTGGAGAAACTCCACTGAATCTTTAAACAACCCTTGTCAATTATTCATCTCTGGTATGAGGGCCTCTGGCCTGCCACAAATCTCTGAGCAGCAGAGGAAAGGAGGGAGGAAAACAGAGGGAGTCAAGAGAGAAAACCAGAAAATCAGGAAGAAACGGAGATAACTAGAGAAAGACAGAAGCAGGGAGAGACAGAAATAGAAAGGGGGTGGGGGAGAGACGAGGGGAGGACCAGAGAGAGGAGGGGAGATCGTCTGCTGGAATTTCTGCATTCAGAGCAACACTGAGCACAGACTTTTTGAATAGCAACTGAGTACTTCTGTCTGTTTATCCAAAGCATAGCCTTCCTCCTCCATGAAGACTTCCTTGCTCTTCGCTCTCTTCACTGAGGTCTCACCAGGTGTGCCCAACAATGCTGGGTGGGTGTGACACGTAAGAAGATACCCTGTTTTGGCCATGCCCCTTTGCCATCCATCCCTCACCAATGTTTGTATGTGCCTGCTCTGCGTCACTTCGTTCCTCTCCCCGACCCACCCCGTCTCCCTGGGTGTGGCTCACTCCTGCTGGCTGGAGAACTCCCAGAGCTCAGGGCCTTGGCTTCTTCTCGCCTCAGCATTCCCCTTCCTCACTCCCTGCACAGCTGGACAGAGGTGGGCACCTGGCAGGGGTGGGGGTTCTGGTTTTCTGGCTGGTTAGAGGATTGCTGATACAGCTGCCGAGGACTGGGGAACCAGGAAAATGGCGGGGGTTGTATAAGCTCTGTGTGAATAGAACCAGGCTGTCTGCACACAGCATGGAGCCCCTCACTCACCTGCTCTTCCCTGCTGTGTGTGTGCGGATATTGCGTGGCCCAGCCTCAGGTGGGCTGGGGTGGGGTGTCTGGGGCTGAAGGAGGATGCCTTTAAGTTGTTAATGTTTGGAGAGCTGTCATGTTCAGAATGACTTTCATTCTTTAACCCACTTAAAGCCCACTTATTTCAAAAGACTTCCTGAGCTGTTCAGAGGGAAACTGAAGCCTTCTTGTAGCTCTGCCCAGGCCCTACACTTCGCTTCAGATCACACCCGTGGGACCCTGACCCCAGTGGGACATTCAGGATGGGAGACTTGCACCATATTGACGAAATAATGCTGAATGGTGGTGTCTGAGTGCACCTAACCCAACAGCAAACCAGGGGGAGCAGGCAGAGCTTGCGGCCTCGCCAGGTGCCCAGCAAGAGGAGCTTAGAGGGACCAGCCCATTGACAGTTGTGTTAGGGTGGTGTTTAGCGAGGGCATGCTTGAGTAAGCGCTCCATCTAGACCCACTCACACCTCTGACAGTCTGTGGGTGTGGGGCAGCCCTGAGCCCCTTGTTTGCACTCAGAGACTCACAGAATCCTGTTGTAGTGCTCTTGGGCCACTTATTTCGCCTCCTCCCCTCTGTCACTCACGATGGTTATTCAACCTCTTGCTTAAAAACAATTGCTTCTCATGGCTAACCTTGACTTTTAAAGGTGCAGTCTCATCCCATCTCTTATGGTTTTGTGATAGGCAATTAGACAGACATGAGCAGAATAAGGACAATGGCCAGGTACAGAAGATGAGCAGGGTGAAAACTCCCAGGTGCCTGGTAAGAGGCAAAACTGGGGAAACATGGACCTTGCCCCCAGGGTAACCTGTCCTCCCCAGCATATCACTGGTCATGTGGTTTAGAACCCCTGACCTTTCATATCACTGGTCATGCCGTTTGGACCCCCTGACCTTTCCTCCCTAGGGATAACATGTAGGCCTTAGTTGTATTTCAGCCCCAGAGGCCCAGAAAAGCAGTGAAACAAGACAGGTGATGCCATGGCTGCCTTAGGACCAGCTGTGATGACTAATGCCCCCCTCTGCCTTGGTGCCAACCAATCAGTGGAGAACAAGACCCTGAAAGGACATGCCTGGAAAGCTGGTGAATATTCTGATAAAATCCTCCCCCAAATTTCCCACCTGCAAGAGGAAAATAAAAACCCTCTGGACAAAGGACCCAGCATTCACTCTCCCTCCTGGAAGCATGCCCATGCCTTTCCTTTCCCCATCTCCTCCTGCCACAGGAGTGCATCTTTTAAACTATGAGGGACCCCATGAGACTTGCAACCAGGGGAGCAATGGGCAGTGGTAGCTTGTCTTGGGCTAACCTCCTGAACCTGTCTACAAAGCCCCCTTTTCTCTAACTTCTCTGTGAGCTAAGCAGCTGAGCCTGGGCTCTCCTGTCATTTCTTCTATGCTAAGCCCTTCCTTGTTTCACTGTCCCAAGTTGTAATAATCATCCCATCTGAGTGCACTTTTGCTGTAGCCAATAAATGCTTGCTTGCTTTAGTGCACTTTGTCTCTTGACTAAAATCTTTCCTTCAAGAAGGCAGGAACCAAGTTCTCACTGTCTCGCTGATAACAGTTGAACACTTTAGAAAAGATCAGGACTAACTGTAGGTTTATTCATACCACCCCAAATCTCCAAAGACAAAGTCTGAATCTTTATTTCCAAGCTGTCTAAGCTGGAAGCTCAGGACAGACAGCGGCTTTCCTGAGGAGCAGAGGTGAGAGGAAGGAGTGTAGGAGGTGGTGGGGGACTGCTCTGGCACCTGCCAGGGAGAATCCTGCATTGGGGTGGGCAGGGGCACTTCCTGTGGGAACACTCTGGGTACACCCAGTAAATAGCAACCCTTCCTATTCATCCAATGGGACATGTTCCAGAAAGGTACAGAAGTGATAGGGGAAGAGAAGAGGCTGCTAGTGGACAGGGACAGATCTTGAAAGAAGAAAGCCTGGGGCTTCCGTATTGGCCAGAGGCCTTGGCTCAGGCCTTTTCTCAGGATCTTCTGAACAGGGATCCCCATGAGAGCCACTGTGGAAGATGGAAGGATGCCACACTTGAATTCACCCCTGGTCATCGGGGTGGTGCTAGGGACTTTGACTGGACCATCTTTTTGGTGGCCTGCACTCTAGCTCTCTGCAGCAAGGGGCCAGGACCCAGGACTGACCCCTCCCCAGGTTAAGACACAATTTCAGCCACCTTCACCGGTCCTTTCCCAGGATTTGGTCAACTGGCAACAGAAAGCCATGCCAGCCCTCACAGCCAAGGTCACAGACTCTGTGCACAAAGACAGTGTCCTCTTTTCTTCAAGACTCAATTTCCTCTTTTAGAAGCCAAAACTAATCTCTTGGGGGGCTTCCCATTATCTAGTGGATGTGCTCCTGAGGAAGTTCTGAGTTGAGATTACTTGAGTAAATGGAACCAGCTCATATAAGTGTTGCAAGGTTTGTTTTGAAAAAAATCATATGGGCATTCAATTCAAAAGATAAAGAAACTCTGTAAGATAAAGAATCCACAGCTTCCACAAGTTTACATTTGCAGTAACTCATAAAATGAGGCCGAGGGGAGGTCTACTTGCCACCTGAGGAGTGAACCAGGCCCACAGGGGCAGTGAAGCCTCTTTCAGATCACCCCTTGCTGCTTTACCCCCCTTGCCCAGAGCGGAAGACACTCACCGTTTCATGGGACATCAGAGGCCTCCGAGGCTCTTCCTCTTCTTCCTGACAGGTGGATGTGCTGGAGTTCATCCTGGGGCTCACTGTGGCCTTGGACCTGGACTCACGGTTAGAACTCAGCTTCTCATCTAAGATCTGAGGGTGCAGGATGGGCAGAACCTTGCTGTTGTTTGGTGTTAAGAAGTTTTCTGGCCTCTGGGAAGAGAAGGTGCAGAGAAATTTCTCTGTGCTCCTTACCATAACTGCACCTTCCACACCCCAGGCCTCTCCTGCTCATGGTTCAGGAGGCCCTGCATGCCTGGCTCCTGTCTACCTCCTGCCCTCTTGCATACTCGGCCCTAACCACCCTGTCCTTGACATTTCTCTAACAAGTAAAGCTCTTTCCCACCTCACGGCCTATGCATCTGCTGTTCCCTCTACATGGAGTGCCTCGTGGGTTTTTACATAGCTGTTCCCTTCTCTTCACTCAGGTCTCAGCGAAAACGTGATTTTCTCAGAGAGGCTCTGCTCTTTGAGATAGAGGACCATCCCAACTAAAGTAACCCCTCCTCCAATATACTCTCTCTTCACATTATACCATTTTACTGGATTTGTAGTACTTACTCTACCAGAAAATTAACTTTCAAAAAATATGTTTAGTTGTTTACTGTCTGCCTCCTCCCTCTGTTTCCAACATTAGAATATAAGTTACATGCAAGCAAGGACCTTGTATATCTGCTATGTCTGCCTCATTGTAGGGGCTCAATAAACATTTTTAAAAATATTTTATTTATTTATTTTTAGAGAGGAGAAGGAGAGGGAGAGAAACATCAATGTGTGGTTGCCTCTCACATGCCCCCTACTGGGGACCTGGCCTGCACCCCAGGCATGTGCTCTAGACTGGAAATTGAACTGGTGACCCTTTGGTTCCCAGGCCAGGGCTCAATCCACTGTCACAGCAGCCAGGGTGGTATGTGTGTGTGTGTTTCTGAAACAATAAACTATGCCACTTATGACTTTCATACTCAATGCAGTAACTACAGCTTCTAAAACCTCTACACTCTTGTGATGCTCTTTGCTGTGTGGACTTATTCTCCATTTTATCTCCTCTGTCATTCTTTCCTCTTATCACCCCTTCTCTCCCCTTTCTTTGAAGGTCCTCTTTCTCCTATTCTCCTTCCTGGACATGACTTGTAACTCTCATCTCTGCTTGTCTAGAATTTGAACCCATTCAAATACTAGCCCTGGAAGCCCAGCGGCCTCTACTCACACTTGTGCAAAGCTTTTCTGGATTCTTCCAGCCTGGCCACTGGCTCCCTCTGCTTACATTGGTCTATAACACCAGGTTTATTTGCTATTTTTCTCTTTTTTAAAAATATATTTTATTGATTATGCTATTACAGTTGTCCCATTTTCCCCCATTCACTTCCGTCCACCCTGTACACCCTCTCCCACCCACATTCCCCTCCTTAGTTCATGTCCATGGGTCATACTTGTAAGTTCTTTGGCTTCTAAATTTACCATACTATTCTTACTTTCCCCCTGTCTATTTTCTACCTACAATCTATGCTACTTATTCTCTGTACCTTTTCCCCTCTCTCCTCCTCCCACTCCCCTGTTGATAACCCTCCATGTGATCTTCATTTCTGTGGTTCTGTTCCTGTTCTAGTTGTTTGCTTAGTTTCTTTTTGTTTTTGGTGTGGTTGTTAATAATTGTGAGTTTGCTGTCATTTTACTATACATGTTTTTTATCTTCTTTTTCTTAGCTAAGTCCCTTTAACATTTCGTATAATAACGGCTTGGTGAGGATGGACTCCTTTAACTTGACCTTATCTGAGAAGCACTTTATCTGCCTTTCCATTCTAAATGAAAGCTTTGCTGGATACAGCAATCTTGGAGGTAGGTCCTTGCCTTTCATGACTTGGAATACTTTTTCCAGCCCCTTCTTGTCTGCAAGGTCTCTTTTGAGAAATCAGCTGACAGTCTGATGGGAACTCCTTTGTAGGTGACTGTCTCCTTATCTCTTGCTGCTTCTAGGATTCTCACCTTCATTTTAATCTTGGCTAATGTAATGATGATGTGCCTTGGTGTGTTTCTTCTTGGGTCCAACTTCTTTGGGACTTTCTGAGCTTCTTGGACTTCCTGGAAGTCTATTTCCTTTGCCAGATTGGGGGAGTTCTCCTTTATTATTTGTTCAAATAAGTTTTCCACTTGTTGCTCTTTCTCTTCTCCTTCTGGTACCCCTATAATTTGGACGTTGGAACGTTTAAAGATGTCCTGGAGATTCCTAAGCCTCTCCTCATTTTTTTGAATTCCTGTTTCTTCATTCTTTTCTGGTTGGATGTTTCTTTCTTCCTTCTGGTCCACTCCATTGATTTGAGTCCCAGTTTCCTTCCCATCACTTTTGGTTCCATGTGCATTTTTCTTTATTTCACTTAGCATAGCCTTCATTTTTTTCATCTAATTTGCGATCAAGTTCAACCAATTCTGTGAGCATCCTGATAACCAGTGTTTTGAACTGTGCATCTGATAGGTTGGCTATCTCTTTGTTGCTTAGTTGTATTTTTTTCTGGAGCTTTGATCTGCTCTTTCACTTGGGCCACTTTTTTTTTTGTCTTGACACGCTTGTTACATAGTGAGGGGCGGAGCCTTAGGTGTTCACCAGGGCAGGGCAACCATGTCACTGTGTTGTGATGCTGTATGTGGGGCAGGGGTCTGAGAGGGAACACTGGCGCTTGCTCCACTTTCTGCTGTATTTCAGTCACTTCCCCCACTTCCCACAAGCAAATAGGGCCCTTCTGGTGCTGATTCCTAGGTGAGTGTGTTTGTACATATTCTAGGACCCTGTTGGTCTCTCCAACAAAAACTCTCCTGTGAGGCTGGGAGTTTCTCCTGCTGCCACCTCAACCCCCTCAGGTGTTTTCAATCAGTGGTTTGAGGCATTATTTCCCTTTGCTGGAGCCCTGGATTGTGTGGTCCATCCTGCTCCCTGGTTTCACCTGGTTTATCTGTGTGCAAATGTGGGAACCACCAGCTGCCGCCTTGCACGATGCACTCCACTCCACAGTCCACTGCCTTGCTGTGAGTCCTCTCTACCCAGGCTGCCCAACCCTGCCCCTCCTACCGGTCTGGATGAATGTGTCTTTTTTAACTCTTTGGTTGTCAGACTTCCATACAGTTTGATTTTCTGCCAGTTCTGATTGTTTTTTTTGTTTGTTTGTTTTTAAATTGTTGTACTTCTCTTGATTGTGCGAGGAGGCACAGTGTGTCTACCTATGCCTCCATCTTGGCCAGAGTCTCAATTTTTGTTTTTCTAACAGAACTTTAAGTTCTTGGACTCAGGGACATGTCTTATGTTCTCTCTGGGGAGAGGTTGCTTTAAAACTCTGTTGTAAATCCATAGTTAGCCCTAAAAAGTGCCCGTTGTTCAAAGAATTATGCAATATCAAGTTTGTAGGGACCTCAAAAGTGACTTACTTCCACCCTCTATCAGCTGATGGAGTTCTGTCTAAGCCACACAGCAGATGAAATGCCACTGTCTAGAGTGTTTTTCTAGAGGTAAATAGAAGAATGGGCACAGTGCCAACCAGGACAGATGTGTTCAGGGTTCGAAGTGTGTAGACGTCTGACCTTGAACTAACAGAGTGAAAAGTGGATATTTTATATGAAAATCCACCATATGAATTTGGTGGAGAACAATGAATTGATGAATTTGGACAAGAGCCCTTCGCTTTACCACTGGGAGCCTTTAAATAATTATTCCTTTCTGCCATTTAAAAATAAAATTTTGTGTGCAGAAACTCATTAACACATGCTGGTAGAGTAAGGGATTATCACAGAGGTAGACAGGTATCCAGTCCAGCCTGTCTTCATTTTCCCCTTGTCAAATGGGTACAAGGATAAATAATTCCAAAGAGAAAGTAGCTCTATACAGACTCTTGGAATGGGAAGAATGAAGCTCAAGTGACCCTGGGGCTGACTATGGCGCCTACTGCACAGTAAAACCAAGACTTCTGGGCCTGCTCTGTCCCTGGGCACTAGGCCTGGGTGTCTTCCTCACCTGCTTTCTCAGTAGCTGTGGTTCAGAGAGGGCAAGATTCACTCAAAGTCTCCTCACTGAACACATCCATTGTCTCTGTGTAGCATCTGAGTCAGATGGCTTGGGGATTTTGGACTGCCTATTTTAGACAAGAAGAAGTACCATATCTCTGTCCTGTTCAGAACAGCTGAACACCAGATTGGCTGCAGAGGACAACAGAATGTGTATTGGATGGATGGATGGATGCAAGAGAGAATGAAGGAAAGAGGAACCACCCAGGGCAAAGATTAACTCCTCATTGACAAGGTGGCCTCTGGGGCTGGGGTGAGATGCTGATTCAGGACCCATAATGACATTTCTTCTCATTTCCAGGCAGCAAGCCAATTTTGATGCCCTGGATTTCATAGACTGCCATCTAATCCTGTTAGAGAAGGAAGTAGAAGTAATGAAATAAAGGGAGAGGTCTCCGGAGGTGCCCCATCCATTCTGAAGGCAGAGACACAATGCTGAGGAAGTCCCCTCCCCCACAGCCCGTCTCCTTGACATAGACCCTGTGTGGTAGCCTTGGCACCAGCTGGGTCAGTGATTCAGAGCTGACATTTACTGGGCTCCTGACTAGAGCTGGACATTTACCAGGTTCTTTTATGTTGATCTTGAAATTCATTGTGTATAATTCATTTAATTCCATCACAAAGATAACATAAAAATGAGACTGACCCCAGTCCAGTCCAGTGCCTTCACCCATCAGCCTCAGGTGAGCAGGGGTATTTGGAGAAGGAGGGAAGGACAAGCAGAGTATCTATGGACTCCAGTCTATTCTGCCCATTCCATGCCCTCTGACCCCTACACGCTTTTCCTGTACCTCTGCCAACTCTGGCTCTGTACTGTGCTGAAGGCTCCATGGCTGGCCCTGTATCTGCTCTCATATCTGCTTATGCCAGCACCTCCCCACCCCACCCCACCACACCACTGCAGGTCTCCTGCCTACATTTCCAATCAACTTTTCTGGGACCCATTGTGGCCTGGGGGTTGAGGCAAGATGGGTGGGTAACTTTTGTAGAAAAGTATTTAGGCCTCTACATAGTATACATACACCCGACAGGGAAGATCAGAGGCAGTTGATCTTGTCATGTGAGGCAAGGGGCACCAGGAAAAAAAGCCCACAGTGACTCATAAA